GTTTTACACTGAGTCACTAGCTCTTGTGTTTTTTTTATTTGTTGAATTTGCATTTGTGACTTGGAAAAGTAGCTTGATATTCTTTGTAAACTTTTTTCTCTTGGTTTCCTGTAATTCCTTTCATATATTATAATCGCCTTTAGCTTCTTGAGACTTTTAAAGTAGAAGTAGTAAAATCTTAGTATAATAATTCCATTAACTGGCTGTTTCTCTCTTTTACTTAAAAATCATTTTATTTATGTATAGTTTGTGCATATGCCTACACATGCACCTTCAAGGTGTGAATCCATGTGTTCACAACTGTTGGGCAGAGGTCAACATTGAGTGCTGTTTTCTATCACTTTTCACATTATTTTAACTTTTATTTATTTTTTATCATTTTTTGTGTGTGTGTTATGCATGTGTATCCACACATGCACATGCCTGCAGAGGCAGAATGTTACTCCCCTGGAGCTAGAGTTATGTGTGTATATGTGTGCCTGAGTGTGGTTTGTGCACATATGTGTGGGTGGCTGTAAAATCCAGAAGGGGGTGTCAGATCTCATGGAGTTTAAGTCACATGCCCTTGTGAGCTGCCTGTTGCGGGTGTTGGGAATCAAGCTTAGGTTTTCTGTAAGAGCAGCATGCACTCCTAACTGCAAAAACATCTCTAGCCACCACCCCACCTTGTTTTCAGGAATAGGATCTGTCTCTAAACTGTAGGCAGAACTTTCTGTCCTGTCTACTAGCTCCTGAATAACCAGCAGCTGCTTCCCAAATAACTGACTTCGAGACTTAAATCATAATCATTCAGCCAGTATCTCAGACTTGTTACTACCTAACTCTTACATTTAAATTAACCCATATTTCTTATCTATGCTTTGCCATGTAGCTCATAGCTTGTTATCTCATTTTCATTTCTTTTCTTTTTTAAAATTTAAATTAGAAACAAGCTTGTTTTACATGTCAATTTTTGGACCCTTCCCCCTAGGGACTGTTGACCAGCTTTGTGACTAGGAGTGAGCTTATCCTGTTCCCCTCCTTCCAATTAGGCCTGTATGCAAGTTCCTGTTATTCGCCCATCATGGCTGCTGGAGTACCATGGCAAATGGATGTCTATGTTTCTGTAGATACTTTTTCCCACCTGATATTCACCTCTGCCCACTCAGGTGAAAAAGTGAAAGATGTTAAGAGCCACTGTTTTCAGGCTTTTGCTTGCATGGGGTTCCCAAAACAAATTAAGACTGATAATGGCCCCGCCTATGTCAGCAGAGGTTTCAATCACTTTTGTCTAGATTTTGGTATTTCCCTCCAAACTGGAATTCCTTACAAGCCCCGAGGGCAGGCTATTGTGGAACGTGCTCATTGCACTCTGAAAGCCTATTTAGCTAAAGACCACCTTGGCTCCCCTGACTCTACTCTATCACTTATCCTCTATATCTTAATTTTTTTAATTGTGGGTGCTTCTGGCAACTCTGCAGCAGACTGTCATTGGCGGCCTGCTCTACAGCAAAAACCTTTGGTTAAATGGAAAGACCTGACCTCGGGTCTTTGGAAAGGGCCAGATCTGCTTTTGGTGTGGGCCCAGGGTTCTGTTTGTGTCTTCCCGCACGATGGTGAGTCCCTAATTTGGGTTCCAGAGCGTTGTATGTGCTCTGTTCCTGCTGATACTCATCAGGCGTCTATAGATCCATTAGACTTTCATGAGGAACCCACCTGTCCTGATGCCGGCAGGTCTTCAGAGTCAGGTATACCTAGCTATACTCAGCCTCAACCTTAGCCTAGGAAAGGCATCCATCAGGATGGATTTAGAAAAGGAAAATTTGTTCCTGAGATTGTGTTTTATCTTATGAAACTTTCTCATATTTACATGGCTGCATAGATTTAAGCAAGTCATCCATTGCTGATTTTTTTTCCTAATGCCTCTGTTATTGGTCTTAACCTCACCCCCTTTTGCCTGACCCTATGTGTTGGCAGGATCCGCTTAACTGATCCTCTTTTGAGTTGGGTCACACCAACCTTCTCAGGTGTGTCCCTTCGAAGGCCTTGTGCCTGCTTAGACATTTGCTATATTCAATAACACTCCCTCAGGAGAAATAATTATTTCCTCCAGGAATGCCACTTGAGAAGTTGTTGGAATGGTGAAATACCAGCCTTGGTGGTCGTTGTTCCTGGTATCATGCCTATTCCAGTGGAACACTCGAGAGAGAACCAGCTCATCCTCACACGACACTGGAGTGATTTTGACATCACAGCGGCTGCAGTTTCTGGCTTCCCTATCTCTTAGCCAGTTGCCACTGCAGGTATGCTGGATAAACTCTCAGGAGCCGGAATCCTTGAGAAATGTTGTAGCCCGAGATCGCTACAGTCAATCCCAGTTCCCTCTCCCTCCTCTGCCCCCACCAATCCCCTATCCCATCTGCTTTCTGCTCCCCAGAGAGGTTGAGGCCTTCCATGGGGGATCTTCAAAGTCCTAGGCCTAGGTCCTCCCCTGTGTGTCCAGGCTGAGAGATTATCCCTCTATGTGTAATGGGCTCCCAAAATCCATGTGTACACTAGAGGTAAATACTGACCCACTGCCAGAGGCGCCATAGACTGCCCAGGCCTCCAAACTGACATCCTCATTCAGGGTGTCTGCAACAGCCCTATGCTGGTTTTCCAGCTATCATTCTGGGGTCCATGAACTTCCCTTTGTTCAGATCAGCTGTCTCTGTGGGTTTCTCCAGCCTGGTCTTGACCCCTTTGCTCATCACTCCTCCCTACTTGATTCCAGGAGTCTGGCTCAGTGTTTAACTGGGGATGTCTGCTTCTGCTTCCATCAGCTACTGGATACCATGTCCTATTTTCTTCTACAGCTGGCTGGCATCTTTCTGACTCCACCCTTCTTCCTCCCAACATTCTTAGTTTGGCTGTCCCTTCTATACTTTTTGCCTGGCTGTCAATCATCATTTTATTAAACCAATTTGAGTGACAAACCTTTACAGTGTACAAATGGGAGTATTTCACAGCAATAAACATCAAGCCTGCAGTTACAGCTATAGTGGCTGGCCAACAAGCCCTCTGGATCTACATTCCTTGCAGAAACCAGGTTTAAATGTCAGCCACTGTGTTTGGCTTTTGCATCTATGTTGGGGGTCATAATTGCTTAGCAGCTACTTTCACTACTGAGCCATCTCCCAGCTCCAATTTTAAAAATTGAGACGGAGGCCTCATATAGTGCAGGATATACTTGAATTTGCTGTGAAGCCAAGGATGACCATGAAATTCTGATTCACATATATCTGCTTCTCAAGTGATGTGATTACAGACCTCGACCACTGTGTTCAGCGCTTATTATTTCTGCTACTACTTTCCCCTTGAGTGGGCCCCATTGTCTGTATCAGTGCATGACAACTTTCATAGAAATATTTCATTTTAAAAATTAAAATAGAATTACATTGCTTTCCCTTTTCTTTCCTCCCTCTAACCCCTCCAATGTGTTCCCCACATCTCACCGTCTTTCAAAATTATGGCCTCACTTTGATAATTTTGTATACACACAAACAGAGTATATGATTTCAAGGCTGAACAATTGGTATTAGAGGAGCAGTTAGGGAGCTCATCCATGGCAAAGACTAATTTTCCTCCTCTCAGCATTCTTCAGCCCACTGTAGTTCTTTGTCTAGGGTTGAGACCCTGTCATGTGTCCTCCTTACATCTTAGCAACTGTATTGGTGATGTTCAGCTCTGCTTGACCACAGGGTGTCATATGACTAAGAATGCATCCCATCCATGATAATTAGGAATAAGTATGTAAGTCCAATTACATGCCATTTGAACATGAAACAGAAACACTGTAACCTAGGCTAAGGAAGACACCACAGGAGAAACACATGTGACCACCTGGGGAAATCTGTAGCTATGACTAGGGAGTGAGAGAACACTGTAGCATCCCTTCTTGTTACACAGACAGCACCTGAGGCCTCCTCCAGTATACAGTCATGGTGTCACTGATTAGTGCAGCCTTGTTGTAGATGTGAGTGGGGTAGGACTCCACGGTCAGTGCCTAACAGGGAGATGCTTCAGGGAATTTGAAGGAAACTATTCAGGATTGTTGAATGGAAGAGTGGTCCTATAGCTGCTCCTGTTGCTCTAAGATAGTGTGCTTTTGTTATCTGGGTGTCCTGAACACTTTGTACTTAATGTCCCTAACCATGCGTTCTCCCTTCTTCCAAATGTGGAGCCTCCCATTGTATGGAGTTTGGAGCAGGAGCCGATGAAGGAGTCTAGAGATGCCGCAGTTGAAGCAGATGGAAAATGAGGAGAAAGTTTGCAAGGCAAGTGGAGGTCCTTTGAACTGCCAGTACCAAGGAAAGTCACATCTGCGTTGTCTATTTAAATGCCATTTCCTTGGTACCTTACACACATACCTTAATCATCTCAGAAGGCACTTGAGACAGATATATTGAGAATTTACCTCTTATTGTAAACATAAGGGCTGAGGAATAAGGGTGTAATAATAGAATGTTGGTGGAAGCAAAATGTAAGACCCATGACAGAATTAGCTGCTGGCCCATGCTACTCATGGCCACAAAAGTTGCACACAGAAAGGGAGGGTAGGAAAATAATTGTGAGGATCCTAATTATCATTTCAATGCCTGTGCCTTGCAAACCCTGTAGGTGGTCTCTTTCAAAGTTTCTGTCAGAGTCCAGGGATGGAATTTAATCCTCAGTCTGTGTTTCTTCATAGGGTCTTGCCTTGTGTTTCTTGTAGATTTGAAGTCTTCTGGTCATAGCAGGATAAGGACAATATGAAGGGTGACAAAACACCTAATATGGACCTTAGAAAGCCCCTGTAGTGTACATGGCTTACTGACTGTGACTTCGAGGTGTTACCTCCTGGAAAGAGACCTTGGCACTCCATTAAATGACATTTCCTTGATAACTTAGACATGTTTCTTAAGCTCAGAAGACACAAAACAAATGCATTGGAATTCACCTCTTTATTGCAAATACAAGCACTGAGGAAAACAACATGCAGGAACACAGTTTGGGTGGCAGCCAAATCTTATGTGCATCTGAATCCTGAGCAAAGGTGGCTCTTTAGGGCTTCTCCACAATCTTCAGAGAAACATGCTCTGGGAAGCAGGAGGAGAACCTTTGAGTGCTTATAGCCTCTTATATCTCCTGTATTGTTCTCTCCTCTTCCAAAACCATCTCTAAAGTGATTGGGAAAAAGGAACAGGTTCAGTGTAGTAAACCATTAGGATCATAATTGAAGTACTTAAAAAACAACAAGAATCTACAGAATTATATCATGTACTAATAGACATACATGGACTTTGTCATTTCCAAGTTATAGTAACCAAGTAGTTTCCAATTGGATTTAGGTTGTATTCCACACTTTGAAGCCCATACTTGGCACCATAATTAAGACCAAGAACAAAACAAGTGTGTCAGTGCAACCCTAATTACTGTTATATCAAATGGATTTTCTGTGCTTACTGACCTGCACTCTGGCTTCACTGATACCCATGCATGCTGCCATACGTTTTCTGAGGGTAAAAAGGAAGGCAATCAGTATTTGGAATTGTGGATATGTAAAAGTAAATATGAAAAAGGTATTTTATACTTGTTTTGAAATTTTTGTCTCATTCCCTTGATAAAGAAATATGATAAATGGATAGATTATTGAATCTACTTTAATCCAAAAAAACCACTGTTAACTTCAAAATGTTTTACATTGGTATGGATTTTAGTTCATTGATACAAATTTAAAGTTAATTTTGTTACACTGTATGTATATTTCTATTCTTGTTTAAAGTATTGTGGTTATATAGCTCAATTAAAATGTAATGTATAATTGAGAAATACAGGTTTACAAAAATACAGTTAATCATCTACAATAGTCAAACTTAAGGTTATGTTACTTAGGTTTTTTAGATATGCAAAGATATATTTCAGATAGACAGGTATTTTTCAAACATTTCAAAGACCCACAGAATATGACATTTAAAATGTTTTAGTAACTTAGAATTTTCATGACAGTGAGACACATCTGATCCTGATATCACCAATGTACTGCAGGGAAGATGATGGGCATCAAAGAAACTCCTTATGGAGTTTATTTTCTTTATAACAAAAGCTAGTCATGTGAGCAAAGAAACTGTCCTTGCTTCAATTGCTGACAGTTACTGTCTAAACTGGATCAGCGGGGCACAAGAAAGGTGATTGCTAAGCTTTGCCATGACAAGATATGACAGTCCTTCAAATTTTCCTGCTTCACAGGAAAGTCTGTCAGATATACTAGGCTTGTAGGTCAAAGATGTATGATCCATCGCTACAATAGGATCCTTGAGTCAGCTGCTACTGTCATTTCTCACATCTTTTGGAAGTCATTTGTTTGCACTTCCTGTTTACTCAGATAATACTATTTCCTTCTCAAGTCTTTGATGGAGTTGAAAACTAAACAGTTATAATTAAAGTTTTTCTTAGTTATAAGAAACTACATATAAAACTTTAAACTTACCAAGATAGGATAGATAATTAAATATTTTCTTGACTTTTGTCAGGTACAAATAAACTAGATATTGTAACTATAATTCCTACATGATAGCTATCTTATTGCCGGTAATTTTACTATGTTAAAGTTAAAACCTTCCTTTTTATTTAGACAAAAAGGGAGAAAAGCTGTGGAATATTCCTGTACACTGTGTAAATTATGCTCTGATTGGTTAATAAAGAAGCTGACTGACCAATAGCCAGGTAGAATAAGGTTAGGCAGAAAAGCCAAACTGAGAATGATGGGGAGAAGAAAGATGGAGTCAAGGGATATGCCAGCCATCTGATGGAGAAACATGATGTATTAGAGCATAGGTAAAGCCATGACACAAGTGGCAAAACATAGATTAATAGAAATGAGCTAATTTAAAAGTAAGAGCTAGTTAGTAATAAGCCTGAGCTGTTCAGTCAAGCATTTTGTAATTAATATCAAGCCCCCGAGTGCTTATTTAAAAGTGCCGACAGGATGGGGCAGGACAGAGAAAGCCCCATTTATATTCCCTACCTTCTGTGATACTCACTTTGAGAATTTTGAGGCTTTTAGAACAACTTTATTACCAAACTATCATTAATAGATGTACAAACCAAAGCTTGTTCCTGATAAGCAATTTGAAAACCAGTAACATAGACAGTAAAAACCTCAAAAGAAGTGCTTCTAATACTCAGAATGGAACTCAGATTTTATCTGTGGTAAATGACTTTACCTGCTGAGCCATCTTGCCAGTCCAAGTAAAGAAATATAAAAATCACACCAGGCAAAGATGAATGTTATATACTCTCACAACACTAGCCACAGAATCCTGAATTCCAAGCACGATTGGAAGCTGAGGCTAGAGGCTCCCTGCAAGTTCCAGGGCAGCCTTGCTACAGATTGAGGTCCTATATCAGAAAGCCAGAAGAGAACGTCACCCCCACCCCCTGACCCATACACTTCCACCCCTGCCAGAATGCGCCTTCAATGCCACCACAAATAGACGAATGGAGATGGGGCAGACCTGGAACTCGTTGTAGAACTGGGATAACTTTCAACTTCTGCTGTACCTGCCTCCAATTTCTAAGATTACAGACCTGCACCACCCCACTCAGCCTGTCCCACCCCATCCCCTGCATCCGTTTTTAAAGTTTTAAAGATAACCTTCCATTCTGTAGCTAAGGCTGGCCTGGCACTCAACCACTGTAGCAAGACGGCTCGGAAGAACAGGTGCTTGCCTAAATGCCTGAGTTCAGCACTGGGGATACACATGGTAGAAGAAGAGAAACACCTCTCATAAGTTGTCATCTGTCCTCCACTTGATATGAACATGCACACACAAGGACAACACACACACACACACACACACACACACACACACACACACACACTGTCAACATGTGTACGAGCGCGCATGCGCATCCTTGCGCGCCCACGCAGGCTTAAAATAAATTAAAGAACCGCATTTCAAAATATAATAAAAAGAGGACAATAGGGGACCCTGGAGAGGACCGAAAGTTCTCCATGTATTATTTTGTTCCCCCAACAAACAGAAGAGCAATGTGTGCATTCTACTCACGCTTCTGCTGGACTGATGTAGTGACTGCGCCGAAAAGTGCTCTCTAGCTCTTGCAACTGAGGCAGGGTGAATCTATGGTGGTGACGCGGGCGGCATTCAGGCACCAGAATTCTCACGGGATGAGTACAGGTCCACCGCACTGACAGAGGAAGCGGCGGCACAGCCTCATTGCCTCCCATTCCCTGGTGACCTGGATTATTCTCCTGGCCACTGCCTTCAGCACCACGCTCCTCTTGGTTCCCTTCATCCACGAGGCCTTCAGCACCGGCAGCAGAGGGACCTTCTCCACTTAATTCTCCTGCTGCTTCCCCTTCTGCGGCTGCGGCTCCCTGCTCAGGCTGGCCCTGTGCAGTCTCCTCCTCATTTCTTCCCTCTCCTCCCGGCAAGACCATCGGTGTCTCAGCACCTGAAAGTGGGGGGTGGGGAGCAGAGAAAGAACAGATGACAGGGCATAGGGGGTGCGAAGTCCCCGTGAAGTCTCAATGAAGCCGGCAGTGCACACAGCACCTGTCCGGTCGCAAGCATGAAACACTCCTCCTGTCATGGACATTGCCAACCCACCATTCCTAGCACACACTGACCATTCCATCTTTCCTTGTCCTTGTCAGATCTCACGTGAAGTAGGTAATCGACATTTTGATGCTCCATGTCATGTGGGCTGTCGAAGTCGCTTGCGGCTTGCTGTCCGTTATGCCTTTGAAGAGTCTGAGAGGGAGCCCCCTACAGTTCCGGAAGTAAGGCCTCTCAACCCACAGGGGCTGGTTTCCGGTTTCCGCGCCCCATAGTCTATATTAACATGTGCCGGATGGCTCCTTGGCGTGAAGTCATGGCTTCCAGTTCACCTCCTTTTCCTATGGGCTGAGCCCCTAAGGTTCAAAAGTGAGGGCAGTTTGGAGCTTCAGTAAGCTGGATGTGTTGTCAGGGAAGGCATAGCACCTGGGCTAACTTCATGAATCCTTTTGTTCTGTTGAATTATCTTCCTAAGGGACTGGTGGTGGCCAACTATGGGAACTGATTTCCTAGGAGTAAGTGGTACCTCATGCATTTAATCACAGCACTCGGGAGGCAGGGGCAGGCAGATCTCTGTGAGTTTGATGCCAGCCTAGTGGTCAGAGCAAGTTCCAGGACAGCCTCCAAAACAATACAGAGAAACCCTGTCTCGAAAAATAAAACAAACAAACAAAAAAAAAAAACAGAAAAGGAAAGATCCCCAGGAGCTCTGGAGGCTTTTTGGAAACGAGAGGACAATGTCTCTTGGCCCCACACCGGGTCCCTGGTAGTTGGCAGAGAACGGACATTAAGTGAATGCGTTTATCTGGGAGATCTCCTTGGACTTGCACAGAAAGTGAAGTTAGAGCCTGTGGCGCGCCCATGCTCTCTGCCTTGCAGGATCTCGGGCAGGTTGCAGGGTCCGGGGTTGCTCTGCAGGCAGAAGAGAGGGCTCAACTTCACCAGGGCTACTGAGGAGGGGTTTCATAGTACTGTTCAGACTTCATGAGTGCTGGAAATTCTGTGAGAATTGTCATACCTGTGCTGAGGTTCCTGAAAGTTCTTTCCAACACACACGCACACACGCACGCACGCACGCACGCACGCACGTGCACACACACTTCTCTGAATGATTTAAGTGTGAAGAGAAGGCCTTTACTCCCTGGTCTCCATCCCAGATCTGTCAGTCAAGCAGCCCCTTCGCTGGCATGTGGTCAGACTGGTTCCCGGGAAGCCAGCACTTTCTAACATGTTCTCCTCAATCTTCGTTTTCGTTTTGCTTTGTTTTTCGAGACAGGGTTTCTCTGTATTGTTTTGGAGGCTGTCCTGGAACTCACTCTGTAGACCAGGCTGGTCTCAAACTCACAGAGATCCGCCTGCCTCTCTGCCTCCTGAGTGCTGGGATTAAAGGCGTGCACCACCATTGCCTGTGAACTAGCAGGGGTCCTAAAGTATTAGCATGTGTCCAGGCAGTTCCTGTTTTGGGGTGGGAATATTCTGGAGCCCTGGTGCTGGAATTCTTCCATGATAAGACTTACGTTACAGTTCTGGTAACTGCCTAACCACCAAATCTGCACATGTATGTTTCCTGCCTTTTGTCTTTGCTGAATAACTTGAATCTGCTGCTGGTGAGGTGTCCAGGGTCCTGAGAATTATTTTCTCTGTTTTTGGCTGTGATGTAGCTCATTTTGCAGCCTTTACCTAACATGTATAAAACCATCTATGGTTAACCTGATGCGCTGAAGAAAACAGGTATGATGGCCCAGTGTTTCAATGCCTGTTATCTGAGCCCTTGGGAGACTGAGGCAGGATGATCAGCTTTTCAAAATCATCTTTGGCTAGTGACTGAGTTGGAACCAGCCTGCAATGCATAAGATGTCTCAAAAATAAGGCATTCATTTCCTTTTATCACTACTTATTTCTCTGTTTACCTGTCATGCTGTGAGCAATGGACCTGATTTATTTATTTATTTTTCTACTTTTACTGTTTGAGAATTGCATCCATGCATGTAGGAGGAAGTCTGTATGCGCCGATAAGCGCATGCATATAATGCAGTTTGATCAAATCAAGCCCACACTGCCTTCCCCCAATCCTTCCCTTTTCCCTCTCACCATTTTCCCTCCCACTTTCATGTTTTTATAACCCCCCTGTGTCTGTGTATATATGGATGCAGGACTACTATCTCCTGGAGCACGTAAGGTCTCCTCATGGCCATCTCACTGAAGAAAATCGACTCTCCTTCCTCCAGAAGCCACCAATGGCTTGAGTGGAACCTCAAGAGGCCCTCCCCTAGTTCATGCTGGCATTTTGTCTGGCTTTGTCCTGTGCAAGCCTTTTTCCTTTAAACTTCTTTATTGAATCTTTGGGGGTTTCACATCATACACCCCAATTCTGTTCACCTCCTGGTCCCCCATATACCCCTCATCCCTGCCTCACTCCCCAAAAGCAAACATACAAAGTAACCAAGCAAGCATAGAAAAGCACAATCCTCCCCCAGTGAACCAACACAGAACAAAAACCATGACAGGAACAGAAAAATCTCTGCTTCTCCTTATTTCCTGTCTCTCCACAACCTCTTATCCATCCTGATGACATTGGAGCCTACACTGTGTCATATAATGTACCCCTTTGTCCCATCAGCTTGACTGGCAACCGTCCATTGCAATAAGTCACTGGTCTGGTTCAAGGCCTCTGGTTTCTGATACACCATCATCACTGGATCCTCACAACTCCTCTGGGATATCCTGTGGCTAACCCTCGTCTTGGAGATCTTGTGGGTATTGTTCCACAGGACCAGTCCCTTCACGAGTTCCATCAGGACCTAGATGGAGTAGATGCTAGGTTGGGTCAACCTAAGGCCACTTGTAGGCCTGGGTATTAGCCAGGCAAGTCAGATCGAGGCACTGGGGCCACCTCGGGCAGAGTCAGTTCCCTTACGCGCATTCCCTCAGGGTAGGTTCATCTTTGCCTTTGGTGAGTGGTGGGGGCCCTCTCTTCTGAATGCAGGGGCTAGCTCTCTTGCTGTAGTGGACAGTGACAAGCAAGGCCAGCTTTCCCGGGGCAGTGAAGGGCAGCCGGCTCAGCATGGCCCTCTGATTTCATCTCACATGGTTCCTAAAGTCTCCTTAAGTGACACTGGCCACAGACATCAACATAGACCCCAGCTACAGCTAGACCACAGACCCAGACATGACCCTTGATACCAGCTTGGGCCTGGATTGCATCCTGGCTCTGGGTGGAAGGAATGGCCACTCAGGTGGGAATGGTCCAGGCAGCTGTGAGGCAACCGGACATCACCCAAACCCTGTGCTCTGTGTGATCATTGGTGGCAATAAAGGACCTGGACTTCAACTCAGACCACACCTATGGTAGGTTCATGGACCCTAACATGGTCCGCAGCAGCAGCTGGGTCTGGATATCACCACTGCCCCAGCAGGAGTAAGGCCCTGAGGCACTAACATAGCCCTCTATCTTGGGTGGTTGCATGGCCTTCAATGGTAACAGGAGCATCATCAGACATCAGCACAGACCCTGGCATTGCCGTAAGCTCTGTGCAGGTCTTTTATAAGCAGTCATAGCCACTGAGTTCATAAAAGCAATAGCCCTTTTGAGTACTCTCTGCTTAACTTCAAGGCCCAATTTTAAACTGGGCTTTTGTTTTCTTGGTGTTTAGGTTTTTGAGTTCTTTATATGCTCTAGACCCCAACCTTTTGTCAGATATATAGCTGGCATAGATTTTTTTCCATTCTGTACCCTGCCTTTTTACCAGAAGGACGTTTCCCTTCACTGTGCTAGAGCCTTTTAGTTTCATGAGGTTCCATTGGTCAGTTGTTGGTCTTAATGCCCATACCACCCAGGCCTGTTCAGGAAGTCATTTCCTGTGCTAGTATGTTGAATCATATTCCTCCTTTTCTCCTTTATCAGGTTCAGGGGATCAGGTCTTCAGTTGATGGCTTTGATTTATTTGGAGCTGAATCTTGTGCAGGATGGGAGGCGAGGAAGAGAGGGGTCTGAGCAGAGTAGTTAAGTGTAAGTGGCCGGGGCATCAGTCTGATGGAGCAGATCCTGAGTCATTCCAGCTTTGCACAGGTGGGCATGTCCGCTGCATGACTAATTCAACCACGTGAGGGACTAAGAGATAAGGGAAAAGTGCTGGTGGACATGTTAGAGGAGCAGCAAGTAGCAATTGAAGTTCTGGGGGTTGGCTCACCAGGAAGCAACGCTCTGATGGGTGAATCTTGGTTAGGCAAGGCCCCCGAGGGCTTTGACCCCATAATGTCTCTTGCTACTGCTGTGCCTTTACATGTTTGCTGCAGTCATTTAATCTTTGGTATCTGACTTGGCGTGAATGGATGTGGGGGATCCCCACTGCCTGTAATGTACTGTGATTATCTCATGGAAATATTCTGTCCTATTGGGCATTTTTACCTGTGAATTATTATAAAGATGATTTTATCCTAAGCTGCACTGTTTAACTGAAGCAATGGTTTTATACACTAATGCTGTCAGTTTAAATAGGATTTTAATGATTGAGGGTCTTTCATAAGTATAGTAAGGAATTATGATAGAAGTTATCTTTTTTTTTTTTGGTTTTTACGAGACAGGGTTTCTCTGTATTGTTTTGGAGGCTGTCGGTTTAGCCCGGCCTCGAACTCACAGAGATCCGCCTGCCTCTGCCTCCCGAGTGCTGGGGATTAAAGGCGTGCACCACCACCGCCCGGCGATAGACGTTATCTTAATGGGAAAATTGGTGTAGGTAAAGGCAAGATATGGTGTTGCCCTCACCCCTGTAAAGCAGGGGCTGCAGAGGATGGAAAAATAAGAACAAGGAAATGTCACACAGCTAGTTTCTCTTGAGGAGCTCTATAGACTGTGGCTTAGGTTAATGATTAAGAAAAACAACTGAGTTCCAGAAGCCCAGCTAGCTCAAGTTCTTTTAATCTTAATGTTGGGAGATGTGTTCACAGGATTTAGAGTACATCATAGCTACCAAAGCTTTAAACAATGACTTAAGGTTAAGCTAAGATGTTTTTGTTAATAGATTTGAGGCAGAAAATCTTGGAAAACAATTTAAAAGTTTAGAAAGGCACACTTTTACAGCTCAGGGACTAGTTGAGGTCAGGGAGCAGGAACAATGACAGCCTGGCTGCCATGTGCCTTTCTTGCTAGGATGGGTTGATAACTAAAGGTGATGATTAATTCCCTGTACCCGTTTCTGCCCTGAGCTTCCCGACATAAAAAAAAAAAAACTGTTGATGAGTGGATACACACCCTGAGGATTTAAAGTAGAGCTGTATGTATTTTTAACCTTGTGGTTCTTTTAATATTCCTTATAAAATTACCTTTTGAGATAAGTGATAAGGAGTTTGATCCTTCTTTGTAACCCAAAATGCAGCCTGCCAGAAAAAAAAACTGGCTCAGAAAAATACATTGTTCACACTGTTAATTGATAACAACTTGCTTGGATATGAATGTATATGGGTTCTTGTGATAATTTGTTTTTCATCTTTAGTATGTAATTATGTAAGAGAAATGGGAAGCATTTTTCACCTGAAAAAATAGAATATAAACACATTGTAATTTTATATTGCCTGAAAGATTTTGTTGGGATAAATAAGCTGTAAGGGGAAAAAAGAGAAGAAAGAACTGAGACAAAAGATGGTAGAAAGACCCTGAGAGAGAGAGAGAGAGAGAGAGAGAGAGAGAGAGAGAGAGAGAGAGAGAGTATGTGTGTGTGTGTGTGTGTTTCCCTTTCTTGCTGGCCACAGAGAGGTAGGTTTAGCCCCCCACCCTTGACTGGTTCAAGAGAAGTAAATATAGCCCCCTTCACCAGCCCCAAAGAATTAAGTTTTACTCCCTCAGATAAAAAAGTCAATTGAGTCATTGTTTTGCCAACTCCATGGTACGCCCTCAATTCCTGAGCTGCTGAAGGTTGGTCCTCATGGCAGCATTAGGAAAAAGACGTCCAGCTTCTATTCAATGCCTGTCTGCACCATTAGTAAACCTAGAAAATGACAGGCAGTTGTGTGGCTGCCAACCAGAACCAGAAGACTGGACACAATAATGAAGTACACTGGGTGTTTCTTGAAATTTTAAGTGTTGTCTAAACTCAATCAGGAACTATTTAAGAAATTACAAGGGTGAGAAAACAGTTTAAATATTCATCTGTTTCTAAAACCTCAAGAGCTGTATAATTTAGAAATATACCTTTTAAAGTGTCAGCCAGCTCCTCTTAGGGAGAAAATTATGTTAGGAGTGAACTCCAAGAGAAAAGAGCCTCCTTCTGGTCTGAGCGAGGCGATTATTCTGTTCTGACTGAAGCAGCAGGACCACAAACACAGCACCTGCTAATGCTCTGTAGTCTCAACAGAAATGAAAGACAGTAAACAAATCTGGGAGTTGCCTAAATGAACACGCTTTGTTGTTTCCTGAGAATCCTGTGAGGAGTCTTTTGAAAGGTTCTCTCAGGGGCGTGCAGGGTATGAAATCCCAGGCATAGCTAGAAGCAGCTCCTTCAGCGTAAATGCTGCCTCTCCCAAGGTATATTCCATGTCCCTCTTGCACATCTGTGATGCAGCATGATCAGGGAAAGGATGGAGACATCCTGACAGAGGGCAACATAATGTGTGTGTCAGTGCAAACATGCCACACCCCTTGATAACCTTCTGTGATATAAGAAGCTCACTGATGGTCACTCAGGGATGTCACCCAGACGAGACCTTGTCTTTAAATGGCATTTCCTCAATAACTCCCATACATACCACTCTAAGGCAGAAGACACATGAATCTAATGAACTGACAATCTATTTATTCCAAATACAAGTTCTTAGGGAAGAAAGATATAATAACATTTGTGGGGGGGGCATATGTCCATCTAGAAGTGTCTCATGGTTAATGGCAAAACTTAGGCCTCCTGCACAATCTTCAGGGAGGGGTGGGCTGGGCCTCAGGAGGAGTACTGCTACGCCCTGAAGGATTCTGCCCTCTCCAGAATCTCTCTCTCTCTTCTTCTTGAACCATCTCTACAATGAGAGGAATTTGTTCAGTTGGGTAATTTGCTATCATCACAAAACACACCATGTATCATTAGCTACCCTCTATAACTTAGATTGCACTGAGGAACCTGCTGACCCACTCCTCCAATTCTGTGAGGAGCGGAGGGGCTGGCACAGGCTCCAGCGCTTGCCTAGAATGTAGGAGGCCCTGGTTCCCACCCCAGCACTGCAGAACCGTCCCTGGACAAATGTCCACACATTGCAGGCCCTTTCCCCCTCTCTACTGTAGTGCAGACTGGAGGAAGTTAGCAGCATTGTCAGGCAGATGCAGCAGCTTGCTTCAGACAACTAGAGTGCTGGCTGCCCTCATCTGTGTGTCCTCACCAGGTGCTTCAAACAGCAGGGGGACCGCCCCTTTGGACTCTGTGCTCCCCCATTCCCATCAGTCTCTGTTTAACCAAGTTACGGAAGCTTTATGAGCGAGGGGTTCTGCCTGTGAACTAACCACACACTCAACTTGCCCCGGTGACGATAGAATTTATCCGTAGTTTATAGTATTTTTAATCGTCTAGGATCATGTAAACCTTGACTATAACATTTTGTGTCTTTTATGTCTCATAACACAGGAGTTTATATCTCATAACCCCAGAGACATGTCTCCACAGAGAAAACATACCTAAAAGACACCAGCATTAAAACAGGGCATATATGTTTACCCATGTATAAATATATTATAAACACTGAATGTAAAAAAGACAAAAAAGGAACGGAACATGACTTGCTCCTAGGTACAGTGGAAGACAAAGTTTACAATAGGTACTTGGGAGAGCATAGCAAGAGGCAGGGCCGTCGGGGAGAGTACAGAGTGGATGAGACCACACTGAGCTGGGGCCTGTGGCGTAGGAGGTGGGAGACAGGGGCAAAGGGAGTCAGTGGTGCAGAGACCCAGATAGGTGTGGCAGGGAAGATGCCAGAAATACCAGTATCTGAGTTGGATAAAATATCATAGTGACAAGAATTTCCATTCAGGACGTCCCCAAGTGGAATGAGAGACTTGTCAGAGAGAAAAATGTTCCAAATCCCAGAGGAAAGGTGACCCTTGTCCTTGAGATTGGAGACACTGTGGGTGACAGGAATTCCTGGCAAACAGGTATGGCTTTTGTAGTAACACCAAAGAAAGCAGGCAGCCTGAGGTGACACTGACCCAGTGGAGAAGGAGAGAGGAGAGAGCAGGAGAAAAGGGAGATGGCCATGTGGGGCAGTCGGCCAGAGGAGTAGCCGGCTGGAGGATCCCGAGGCACATGTACATATAGAGATGCCCGCATGGAGGGCACAGCATGGCAGAGGCCAGAGAGAGGAGAGCAGCAGCTGGAAAGCAGGCAGGGAACAGTAGCTGAAGAACAGAACTCTAGGAAATGTAATTAAAGGCTGTGATTGGCCGAAGCCAGCAGAAACACACGACCTGCTCATACCTCAGGTCAGCTGCATGGCTAGGAATAGCTGAGTTCGCTAGCAGGGAGCTCATTTATGCCATTCCCAGGTTTCAGCACCAGGTAAATAAGTAAGTAAGTGACTACCTACCTACCTAAACAAATAAATAAACAAATAAACAAATAAGGAAGGAAGGGCATATGACTGGTCCAGGATTTTGCACCAGATGAATAGAAAAAGAAAGAAAGAAATGAAAAGTAGAGAACAGACTGGCCCTGGGTTTCAGCACTGGGCAAATGGAAAGAAAAAGAAATACAGTGGAAAGGATGGTGACTGGTCCCACATATGAAGGCGAAGATTAGTATAGATCCATGGGAGAGCAGAGGCAGAGGCAGAGACATCTAGGGAGTCCAGAGTGGTCATGAGCAGACTGAGCTGGGTCACATGAAGACAGTGGGGAAGGGAATGGGGAGGGCAGGGAGGGGAAGCAGGTGCAGCACCCAATGCCAGGTAACCAAAGCGAGTTAACTAAATAGGGAAAGGCAGGTGGAGAATGGGCAGTCCAGCCCCTGAGCTGGATAAGTTCAGGGTAGGGGGTGACGTTTGCAGGTCAAGATGGCCCTGTGACAGATAGGGACCTTGGGTGAGGGAGACGCTGGTGGCCAGGCCTGCTTTGGTGTGTTAAATAGGCGCCTCAGCCATCTGTCCCAGGTTCTAACTCTGACAAATACAGCTATTAACACATACAGCGTTTACACATTTTGTATGTTACATATATCCATAATTAGGGACAGGATACTTGTATGTGCAATACACATATGTTTAAGGAGGGAAAGTAGCTTCGTCCTATTCCGTGTCCCCTAGGAAGCTGGGTTTCAGTTGAAACGTGTCCCTTCTGCGTAGTGAGGCTTCTGGTCTACTTTCTACCCACAAAAACCACAAAGCTAGAAAATTACTTTATGGTGGCTGCCGAGATGGCCCAAGGAGTAAGGGCAGTTGCTGGTCTTGTGGACCTGAATGCAATTCCCAGCCTCCAGGGGTGGTGGCTCACAATCATTTTAACTCCAGCTATGGGGCATCCGATATCCTCTTTTGCTTCCATAGGTACTCACATACATGTAACACACACACACACACACACACTAATGATACACACACACACTAATGTAACACACACACACACACACACACACACACAGAATCTCCCCACCTCCCCCACTCTAAAAGGAATCTTTTCAAAGTCGTTTTGAGATGAGGTAAGGTCAAAACAATTGGACAACTCCAATGACAGGACAAGCATATCCAATTCTTGAGGATAGTTCTCAAATGGCCGTGTAGCCAAAGGGCCCTTTGCTGGTTACTCACATGCAGTTTGGCTTCTGTCACGCCCATGGACCTTGCCAGATGTTTTCTGAGAGTGAAAATGACAGATGTTCAGTATTTGGCATCGCAGATGAAATAAGGCTTGTAAAGGACTCTGAATTGATTAAAATTCCTATCTCAGTCCCCTGAACTGTAGGACAGTGACTTTCTACAGTGATTTTAATTAACCAGAAAGGTGTTATCAATAGAAGAAGACCTAAGCACACAGGTAAAATTCAATTTAAAACGCCAATATACACAACAAACACATCAAATAAATGTTCCTACCTTTTGATGTGTGGAGTATAAAACTGTATCAAAACATGAAAGAATAGAAATGCACACATGAAAATCCTGTGTGAGGGGCTTTGCTGGGGTGGAAGGAGAAACACAAAAGAAGATGGATTCTTGGAAATTACCCAAAGATTCCTAAAGTTCAGTAAACACATAAGGATGTCCACCATGCTGATTATCAGGAATATGGCATGTTTTATCCACTTCACGTAATGAGTGTGTGTGTAGGGGCTGAGGGGAGAGAGAGAGAGAGAGAGAGAGAGAGAGAGAGAGAGAGAGAGAGAGAGAGAGAGAGAGAGAGAGAGAGAGAATGTTTCTGCGTGTATGTGAGAGTGTGTGTGTATGGTTTGTGTTGAATGTGAGAACAGCTCACATTGAGGGCCACACAGTCCTGAATCCCAGCAAGAGAGATTTAAGTGAGAGCTTTCCTGAGATTTAGAGGCCATTCTGGGCTACAGAGTGAAATCATGCACAAGAAAATCAGAAGACAAGAAAAAAACAAAAACAAAAACAAAACCCAGGCCTCAACCCCCAACACAAAGGGTCTCCTGGGGACTGGTCTGCTCTAATACAGAAGTGAGGGTGACCTTGAATGTGTGACCTGGCTTCCTCTGCCTCCAACTACTGGCTGGGGCTACAGGCACACCTGGCTTGGTAAACACAGTTGATTTTCTGTGTTGAGATAGTTTTGTCTGTAGCTCAGGCCTCCCAGGAACTCACCACTACAGCCCCAGCTGGGCCTTCTCAGAACTAGGATCACACCAGAAGCCACCATGGCCACCCAACTCTGAAGTTTATCTTTACAGACAACTTTCTTTGAGGAGGGTGCAGACATTTTCAGAAAATGCCAAAAAGAGTGATGAAAAGAAATGTGCCAATGTGTTTACAGCTAGTAAAACACAACGCCAAAACATTCAGGATGTACAAATGTATCTACTTTTTCAACAAAGGCAGAATCCTGTGTTATCCCAACCACACCCTAGGCTTCTGAGACCTGTCCTAAGTCGACCTTACTGAGATCAACGGGCACTGGCCAAGCATTTCTGCTTGGTCCACCTAAAACTATACGAGGAGACCTCCACTCCCAGTTTGCATAGCTCCTACTCCCATCGCAGATCCCTAGGATAGAAAGGCAGGGGTTCTGCAAGCTGGCTTGTGTGTGTGTCTTTTAGTTCTAGAGGGCAGAGTGGAGGCAGGCAAAAGGATGTGCTTGCCAGCCAGCCTGGGAGGAGGGAACCAAGTCCTTCAAGCTGATCTCTGACCACCCAGTATGAGAATCAGCTCCCCCACCACACACCCACCAAGACAAAAGGAAACTTGAACATGTCACCTAAAGTTTTCAATCAATGAAGACAAGAAGGACAGCTGCCAGTGAGCCACAGGCCTCTCTGTACCAGCTGGCTCCCTCCTCAAACGATTGGGAGCCACACGGTCTGCTTACCTTTCTTCAGCGCTTAGTGATTTCTCTGGAAACACTGTTCCTGGTCCTGCAGCAGCGTTCTCATAAATCTGTCACGGAGCATGCCGCGGGCCATCAGCGCTGGCACAGGCTGGACATTGGGCATTGTAACTGGCATATTTCGTACATTTGGCATCCTACCTCGCCCACGCCGTACACGGGGCGTTGTAGGTGGCACAGGACGCACTTGGGGCATCATAAGTGGCATAGGCTGAAAATGGGACATCATAGGTGGCATAGGTTGGACAGGGGGTCCCATAAGTGGCAAAGGCTGTACATTGGGCATCATACCTGGCATAGGCTGTACACTGGGCACTGTAATTGGTATGGGCTGTACACAAGCCATCCGTACTGGCCTAGGCTGTGTATCAGGCAGTGGCATGAGTGGTATGCAAGATACTTTAATCTGTACAGTCTGTACACTGGGCACAGCAATTGGCATAGGATGGACATGGGGCACAGAAACAGGCATAGGCTGTGTATGGGGCACTGTGTTTGGCAGATGCTGGACATGGAGTACATTAACAGGCATAGGCTGTGTATGGGGCACAGTGATTACCATATGCTGGACATGAGGTACATTAACAGGCATAGGCTGTCTTTGGGGCACTGTGCTTGGCAGATGCTGGACATGGAGTACATTAACAGGCATAGGCTGTATATGGGGCACTGTGCTTGGCAGATGCTGGACATGGAGTACATTAACAGGCATAGGCTGTATATGGGGCACTGTGCTTGGCAGATGCTGGACATGGAGTACATTAACAGGCATAGGCTGTATATGGGGCACTGTGTTTGGCAGATGCTGGACATGGAGTACATTAACAGGCATAGGCTGTCTTTGGGGCACTGTGCTTGGCAGATGCTGGACATGAGGTACATTAACAGGCATAGGCTGTCTTTGGGGCACTGTGCTTGGCAGATGCTGGACATGAGGTACATTAACAGGCATAGGCTGTATATGGGGCACTGTGATTGCCAGATGCTGGACATGAGGTACATTAACAGGCATAGGCTGTCTTTGGGGCACTGTGCTTGGCAGATGCTGGACATGAGGTACATTAACAGGCATAGGCTGTCTTTGGGGCACTGTGCTTGGCAGATGCTGGACATGGAGTACATTAACAGGCATAGGCTGTCTTTGGGGCACTGTGCTTGGCAGATGCTGGACATGAGGTACATTAACAGGCATAGGCTGTCTTTGGGGCACTGTGCTTGGCAGATGCTGGACATGGAGTACATTAACAGGCATAGGCTGTCTTTGGGGCACTGTGCTTGGCAGATGCTGGACATGGAGTACATTAACAGGCATAGGCTGTCTTTGGGGCACTGTGCTTGGCAGATGCTGGACATGGAGTACATTAACAGGCATAGGCTGTCTTTGGGGCACTGTGCTTGGCAGATGCTGGACATGAGGTACATTAACAGGCATAGGCTGTCTTTGGGGCACTGTGCTTGGCAGATGCTGGACATGGAGTACATTAACAGGCATAGGCTGTCTTTGGGGCACTGTGCTTGGCAGATGCTGGACATGAGGTACATTAACAGGCATAGGCTGTCTTTGGGGCACTGTGCTTGGCAGATGCTGGACATGGAGTACATTAACAGGCATAGGCTGTGTATGGGGCACAGTGATTACCATATGCTGGACATGAGGTACATTAACAGGCATAGGCTGTGTATGGGGCACTGTGCTTGGCAGATGCTGGACATGGAGTACATTAACAGGCATAGGCTGTGTATGGGGCACAGTGATTACCATATGCTGGACATGAGGTACATTAACAGGCATAGGCTGTGTATGGGGCACTGTGCTTGGCAGATGCTGGACATGGAGTACATTAACAGGCATAGGCTGTGTATGGGGCACAGTGATTACCATATGCTGGACATGAGGTACATTAACAGGCATAGGCTGTGTATGGGGCACTGTGCTTGGCAGATGCTGGACATGGAGTACATTAACAGGCATAGGCTGTGTATGGGGCACAGTGATTACCATATGCTGGACATGAGGTACATTAACAGGCATAGGCTGTGTATGGGGCACTGTGCTTGGCAGATGCTGGACATGGAGTACATTAACAGGCATAGGCTGTGTATGGGGCACTGTGCTTGGCAGATGCTGGACATGGAGTACATTAACAGGCATAGGCTGTATATGGGGCACTGTGCTTGGCAGATGCTGGACATGGAGTACATTAACAGGCATAGGCTGTATATGGGGCACTGTGATTGCCAGATGCTGGACATGAGGTACATTAACAGGCATAGGCTGTGTATGGGGCACTGTGCTTGGCAGATGCTGGACATGGAGTACATTAACAGGCATAGGCTGTATATGGGGCACTGTGATTGCCAGATGCTGGACATGAGGTACATTAACAGGCATAGGCTGTCTCTGGCGCACAGTGATTGGCATAGGCTGTACATTGGGTACATTAACAGGAATAGGCTGTCTCTGGCACACAGTGACAGGCACATGCTGCATACCAGGTATTGTTGCTAGCACAGGCTGTACATGGGGCACCATATGTGGCATACTCTGTAATCCGGGCAGAAGCCCTAGAACAAGCTGTACATTAGGCCCTGTAACTGGCACAAGTGGCATATTGGTCACCATAACTGGCATAGGCTGTGCCTGGGGAAAGGTACCTGACATAGGCTGTATATGGGGCATCCCCACTGATAAATACTGTACAGTGGTCACATTAATTAGCATAGACTGTACACAGGACACCCTAACTGGCATAGACTGTGCATGGCGCACCATAGATGGCATAGGCTGTACCCGGGGAACTCTAACTGGTACAGGTTGCACACGACATACTGTACGTGGCACAGGCTGTACATTGGTCACCAGCTCTTGCAAAGACTGCACACCCTCGGTGCCCCCCATGCCCTTGGAGACTAGCTCCTGAGGCTGCCGCTCATTCTCCTGGCCACTGCCTTCAGCACCACGCTCCTCTTGGTTCCCTTCATCCACGAGGCCTTCAGCACCGGCAGCAGAGGGACCTTCTCCACTTAATTCTCCTGCTGCTTCCCCTTCTGCGGCTGCGGCTCCCTGCTCAGGCTGGCCCTGTGCAGTCTCCTCCTCATTTCTTCCCTCTCCTCCCGGCAAGACCATCGGTGCCTCAGCACCTGAAAGTGGGGAAACAGAAAGATTGGGTGATAGCGCCCAAGGTGGTGCGAAGTCGCTGTAATGCCAAAAGCGGAGAAGTCGCTGTGACCCCCAAAGGCCACTAGGACTCCAGAGGCGGCGAAGTCTCTACAAAGCTAAAAGGTGGCTACGACCACAAAGATGGCGAAGTCGCTACAACGCCAAAAGGTGGCTATGACCACAAAGATGGCGGAAGTTGCCGCGAAGTCGCTGAGACCCCCAAAGGCCGCTAGGACGCCAGAGGCGGCTAAGTCTCTACAACGCCAAAGGCCATGAAGTCGCTGCGACCCCAAAGGCGGGGCCTAGGACGCCAGAGTCGGCGAATTCGCTAGGACGCCAGAGTCGGCGAATTCGCTAGGACGCCAGAGTCGGCAAAGCTGTTGCGACCCCAAAGATGGCGAACACGCTGCGACCCCAAAGGCGGGGCCAAGGACGCCAAAGGCAGCGAATTCGCTGCGACCCCCAAAGGCGGCGAGGCTGGCAGTGCTCAGGGCCTGTTCCGATCCCGCCTGTGGGACACCAGTCCCCTCGTGGAGCTGTTCCCCTCGAGGATATCGTCAACCCACCGCCCCCAGGAGGCACTGACCGTTGTGGTTTGCCTCATCAGGTTCCTCCTCATCAGGTTCCTCCTCATCGGGTCCGTCACGCGGCGGGGAGTCGGTGTTTCGACACTCCATGACGCGGGCGAAACCCCTCGAGGCACGCCTCCCCCTGAATGTCTTCAGGTTCTGAGCGGGAGTCCCCTGTAGTTCCGGCGGGAGAGCGTCTCACCGAGCAAGGACCGTCTTCCGGTCCGGCACCCGAGGACTCCTGGTTAACATGTATCCAGTCATGGGCGAGACATCCTTGCTTCCGGTTAGCTCCTGTTGCTATGGGCTGGGTGCCGAGGCGCGAAACTGGGGGCAGATTGAAGCTGCAAGCAGCAGGCTGTGTTGTCGGGGGGACAGTGGCACCCGGGCAAGCAGGGTGTAGACGGACCCTTCCCAGTTGCCTCTCTGCTGAGTCTCCAGGCCCTGGCGAGTTATCTTCCTAGGGGATGGTGGTGGTCAGCCATGGGAGCCGATTTCCTGGGAGTGAGGAAAGATCCCCAGGAGCTCTGGAGGCTTTTTGGAAACGAGAGGACAATGTCTCTTGGCCCCACACTGGGTTCCTGGTAGTTGGCAGGGAATGGACATTAAGTGAATGCGTTTATCTGGGAGATCTCCTTGGACTTGCACAGAAAGTGAAGTTAGAGCCTGTGGCGCGCCCATGCTCTCTGCCTTGCAGGATCTCGGGCAGGTTGCAGGGTCCGGGGTTGCTCTGCAGGCAGAAGAGAGGGCTCAACTTCACCAGGGCAACTGAGGAAGGGTTTCATAGTACTGTTCAGACTTCATGAGTGCTGGAAACTCTGTGAGAATTGTCATACCTGTGCTGAGGTTCCTGAAAGTTCTTTCCAACACACATGCACACACGCACACACGCATGCACGCACGCACGCACGTGCACACACACTTCTCTGAATGATTTAAGTGTGAAGAGAAGGCCTTTACTCCCTGGTCTCCATCCCAGATCGGTCAGTCAAGCAGCCCCTTCGCTGGCATGTGGTCAGACTGGTTCCCGGGAAGCCAGCACTTTCTAACATGTTCTCCTCAATCTTCTTTTTCGTTTAGCTTTGTTTTTCAAGACAGGGTTTCTCTGTATTGTTTTGGAGACTGTCCTGGAACTCACTCTGTAGACCAGGCTGGTCTCAAACTCACAGAGATCCGCCTGCCTCTCTGCCTCCTGAGTGCTGGGATTAAAGGCGTGCACCACCTTTGCCCGTGAACTAGAAGGGGTCCTAAAGTATTAGCATGTGTCCAGGCAGTTCCTGTTTTGGGGTGGGAATATTCTGGAGCCCTGGTGCTGGAATTCTTCCATGATAAGACTTATGTCACAGTTCTGGTAACTGCCTAACCACCAAATCTGCACATGTATGTTTCCTGCCTTTTGTCTTTGCTGAATAACTTGAATCTGCTGCTGGTGAGGTGTCCAGGGTCCTGAGCATCATTTTCTCTGTTTCTGGCTATGATTACAAAGACATTCATTTTTGGGTGGGTATATAGTTCTTTTTTCCAAATCTTTGTGTAGTATGCTTTAAAAGGTGGATTAAAGCCCCCAAATTCAAGGCGTCCCTGTCTGAAATACTTGTGGCACAGGAAGAGCATAACAACAAAATCAATCTTGGTTTCAGGGTGAGTTTTACCTCTGCCTGGGGCATTTTGTCTCAAAATAAAGGAAGAGAATAGAGATATTCATTTCGTTTTTTCATCTTCTCAGCTCCATCTTTCACTTCTCATTTTTGTGTCAGGCAGTGAGCAATATGCCTGATTTGGTTTTTTTTCTTTCTTTTTTTCTGATTTGGTTTTTAAAATTTAATCATGGTTGTTTCAAAAATTGTGCACATGTACAGTTTTGTCCTAAAGCTTCCTTGGCAGTCTCATGGATGCCACGAAGAACTGTAAAACACAGTGTTTCTTGAATTTTTAATGTCATCTCTAGAAGTTTTTATTTGTTTTGTTTTGTTTTTTTGTTTTACGAGACAGGTTTTCTCTGTATTGTTTTGGAGGCTGTCGGTCCAGCCCGGCCTCGAACTCACAGAGATCCGCCTGCCTCTGCCTCCCGAGTGCTGGGGATTAAAGGCGTGCGCCACCACCGCCCGGCTACTAGATGTTTTTATTAATATTATATTTTTAGTTTTATTTAATTTGTTAAACTTTTTTCTTGATTCTTTGTGGATTTCATGTCATGCATCCTGATCCCATTCATCTCCCTGTCTCCTCACTTCTGCCCTCGCTCTTGCAATGCCCCAAAACAAAATTTACAAGTAAAGCAAAAAACCAAATCAAACAACAAGATTTACAAGTCAAACAAAAAACCAACCCAAACACACACACAAATCAAACAACAGCAGCAATAACACCCTCCCCCAAGTTTGGTGTGAGCTATAGTGTGTCACAGTATACCTTTTAGTCTACACATATATGTCCTTTACTTGTATTCATTGCAACCAGTCATTGCTTTGGTACAAGGCCTCTGGCTTCTGCTACACTATTGACACTGGGCCCTCACTGGGACTCCTCTTCATTATCCTATTTTAGCCTTGTGTCATGGAGATCCTGTAGCTTTGTATCTGGACCTTCACGTGCTCTAGCAGTTCATAGATGAGGTGGGTGTTGGGGTGGGCTACCTTGTCCTCCTGGTTCTGGATCTGGGTGATAGCTGGGTTGGTTCAGTCCACCAGCTTTCCGTCTCTTTCACCACCCAGGTGAGCTCTTCATGCCTGGGTCTGTGGTCCTACTGCAGCCTAAGTCTATGCTGATGTCCGTGGCCTGTGTTGCCACCAAACACCACACTGATACCCAGGATATGGGCTTCCACTCATGATCTTCTTGGTGCCTGAGGGCAGTGCCACTGCTGGGCCCATACAGACCTTAGTGATAAGCACTGTCACCTAGAGCCAGGGTGTCATACGGGCCCGAGTTACTGCACGGACCATGTCTGGGTCAGTGGCTCTGCCACAGCCAGGGTCTGGATTAATGTCCCAGACTCCTGTGTGGATGCCCAAGATCTGGGTTTACACCTGGGGCCATGTGAGTGTTCAAGGGCCATGCTGCTGATGGGTCCACGCTGATCAGAGTAACCTGCATTACCAACCTGGGCATTCCAGCCACTGCACCTGGGTGAGTCTGTGGAGGTGGCCTCACAGCAGCTTAGGCGGTACCTTTCGTGTCTCTCATACCCTTTGGGACCACCTCCTCAAGCGCCTGTTGGTTCTTCTGGCCTATGTAGCTGATGCCACTACCTTTGTGGGTCCCATCATTCACAAGGCATGCAGTGCCACTTACGGGTGGTGTGGCCCTTCTGCACGTCTCCTTCTTCCTCTTCTATTGCTGTGTTTTCCCAACCCAGGCTTGTTGTGGAATAATCTTTTTATGCACTGTGTAAAACGTGTCTCTGTCCTTCTGCACCTGCCTAAGGCACCTTCTGATTGGTTTAATAAAGAGCTGAATAGACAATAGCTAGGCAGGAGAAAATAGGCAGGACTTCTGGGAAAAGAGAGGAACTCTGGGAAGAAGACAGGCAGATTGAGGCAGCGAGATGTGGAGGGAGTTGGATGTACAGCATGGAGAAGAAGTAACGATCCACATGGCAAAACACAAATTAATATAAACCAGTTAGTATAAGTTATAAGAGCTATCTGGGAACAAGCCATCATAATTAATAATAAGTCTCCATGCCATTATTTGGGAGCTAGCAGTCCAAAGAAAGAACAACTACACAGGCTTGTCCTGCCCACTCTCTTCCACGTTTCTTGACTCTCTAGCCTTCGAGATCAACAGTGCATCTGCTCTTGAAAGTGGGGAAACACAAAGAGTATGATCGGGGGCCAAGAGTGCATGAAAAGGGACATCATACTTCTGCGAACAGAGCTAGTAATGGGCAGCATAACACGTTAGACTCCAAATTGCCAATTAATGTGCATTGTACTGTAGTATATAAAATTAACCACTCCACATATGGGATATTAAACTGACCCTCAAG